TCCCTCAGTTTGATCGGTGTTGTGTCATCTACTGCACAAATCGCGCGATGAAGAGTAGATGTCTCCACCTGCACCTGAAAATAAGTTCTTAAATTAGTAATCTGTTTTTCTAATTGCTCGCTTATATCAATAAGTCCTCGTCCTCCTAAATGCCGCGGTATTGTCTTTCTTTCTACTGCACTTCGTGGATGGTGTTTTTGTGCCTTTGTGAGGTGTGTTCGTACTGTTTTCTGAAGAGTTTCTATATCCGTTTTAGTCCACTTAATAATCCCAAATGAGTAGCTAAGCGCGGAAAATACGTAGGTGTTTAATGTCCTAAACAAATTTTTACTATTAAGATGTGAGCGGAGTAGCTGTTTTATCCTTCGTATGAATTCTGATGTTAATTCGATTTTCATTTGTTTATGGTCAATTTTTCGAGTTTGCTTTACTCCTAGATATTTATACATGTCATTTTCGCCCATAGCCTCGATGTTTTGGCCATTTTGCATATCGGATCTCCCGGGCTGAACCTTTCCCTTGACTATATTTAATACACGACATTTGTCTAACCCAAAGTGCATACTGATATCATTTGAAAAAGTTTCTACAGGTTTTAGCATTTGATCTAAGTAATTTCGAGTGGAAGCCATTAGTTTCAAATCGTCCATATACAACAGATGATTAAGCTTCGCCACTACAGTGTTGTTGTTTTAATACTGAAACCTGAGTCAGTAGAGTTTAATAGCTGCGATAGTGGGTTCATCGCTAGACAGAACCACATGGGACTTATCGAGTCTCCTTGGAATAAGCCGCGGTTAATTGCGATAATTTCCGTTTTGATATTGTTTTCACCAGGTATTTGAAGGTGAATTTTAGTCTTCCAATCTGTCATTATATGTCTTAAGAAGGTCACTATATTATCATCGACTTGATATATTCTTAATATATCTACCAGCCATTCCTGCGGCATTGAGTCAAAGACTTTCTTATAGTCAATAAAGGTAGTAAAGAGATCCCTTTTTTTTGGTGTATGCCTGGTTAGAAATGACTGAGTCGATAATAAGTTGTTCTTTGCAACCCATGGAACCCTTAGCGCATCCTTTCTGTTGAGGTTCTATGATATTGTTTAGAGCGCAGTGTTGGTAGATACGCTGGGCTACATAGGATGTGACCAATTTATACAGAGTTTGAAGACACGTAATTGGGCGGTACTTGGCTGGATCTTGTGTATTATTTTGATCCTTCGGTATTGAATAAGTTGTTCCCTGAGTTAGGAATGATGGTATTTCCTGCGGATTAGAAATAACACGAATAATTAATGTTGACAAGCACTCATGAGCACTCCAGAACTTCGTAAGCCAGAAGTTTTGAACTCCGTTTGGTCCAGGAGATTTCCAGTTATAAAGCTCTTTGATGATATTAAAGACTTCTTCTGTGGTGATGGGTTCATAGACAGTTGTCCGGTAGTGTCGACAGCTGTGAGTAGTATCTTCTATCCATCTAGCATTGGTGTTAAGAGCAGCTGGTGTGGAAAATTGATTTTCCCAAAACTCCTGTATTTCTTCTTGGCTTGGGTATGATTTATTGGCACTTTCGACAGTGGAGTTAAGTTTTCGATAGAACGCTTTCTCGGCATGTCAAAAAAGCGCATTGTCACATTTCCGGCTGTTACTAACCTTGTACCTCCTTAGTCGTCCTGAATAAACGGAGAGTTTTTGTTTTAATGTATCCAGGCACTGATAGGCTGTGATGTTTACTGGATGATATTGCGAGTGTCTTACAGTGCTTAGCATTATTTGATCAGCTCTTTTAATGACTTTTCTACTTGTTGTTCCTCGTATATATTCTGTCATTTGATCAATGTACCTATACAATAATTCAATCTTGTTTAGAAGGTGTTTCTCCCAGGGTGCAAGTCTGTTATCAGTCCTTCCCGTCGTGTTCTGATCTTAATTCCCAGTATATTAGCTGTTTCTGTTGCTGCACAGTAAATAAGCATGTGCAAATATTCCAGCGTATGGGTTTCTGCGAAGTAATTGGGTAGGACTTCAGTATTTATAATTTGTAACAGAGCACCTAGTTTTTTAGAAGAGTTTATTTTTGGTAGCGGTGGTCTGCTAAGTGGATTTGTTCTATTAAACTCTTGTACAGTCCGTGCCATTTCGCTTACCAATGTATCGCGTAACTCGTTGTTGTCCTGTAGTGTATTATCAGGTTGGGTTTCTTATATGGTAAGCTCAGGAATCTGCTCATGTATTTCATTAGGGACTTGATCCACATTTACCAATTGGGGATTAATCTCCCGTTCGACTTCGCTTTTGATGTTATTGCGTCTAACCTCTGGGATAAGATTGTTTCTTATAATTACCCGGTATTGATCAGCAACTCGTTGGTCAGTTACTTGAATTTCTGGGTACTCCCTGCAAAATTCGACATAGAGATTTTATCGATACCCGATCGTTTCTTGACCGAGGTTTGTCACCTGGTAATAGAAGCGCAAAATAATCTCATTTATGGACGTAGTCCATTTCATGCGCTGCCTCGGTAGTCCCGCTTGGGTAAGAGCGGGCTGATGTTCCAACGCAGCACCTTCAGCGAGTGGAGCTCTTGTTGTTGTTTGGCTCGCTTGTGATTGTTCTTGCTGTTGTTGGGTTGTAGCTGATTGTATGACAGGGGTCCGCCTCCTCAACACCCTGCCACCGACGTCCCGCATGCTGTCACGCCCAGTATCGGATCGAGACATGCCCTGACGATCTCCAGGCCGTGACCCTAAACATAAATCATTAACCACCATTTCATGGGTTTGCATTTTATATCTACTGCCAGGTATCAGTTCTTGTTCCACGGCAAGTATCCCTGCTACCCTCTGGGTATCGGTGCTAAGAATACCCAGAAAGTATCCCCCATTCGCAGTGGACCGCGCCTGATATAAGAACTGACAAAAAACTCTCACGGGTTATTAATTAATTACCAAATTTAGCCATACGGCTCACACTCCTCCTAAGGGGATAATTCACTAATTAATTACTATTATTATTATTATTAGTATGTGTAATATTAATATTAATAATCCACTTTTGCAATAATTATGTGACCTTTTTGATTTAAAATGGATTTTAGGATTTTTTATACATTGGTAATTATGTCAACTTCGATCTATGTCACTGATAATGATGTGCAACCACAGACCACTAATAACGCGAGGTAGGTGATTTGTACGTGCAAAGGTAAGTAAATTAGATGAAGTATATAGCATTTTTCATATAAACATGCTTGCACGTCATTGAATATTTACGACGTCAGAACCTCACAGAGTTGCCAAAACCTCAGAATAGTTACTAAGTGAGGAATTTTTAAAATGTCAACTGTTTGTCAAACTTTTATATTAACAGTAAATACACTTAATTTTAAGATTAATGCCACACACTAAAAATACATAAGAAAACATTTTAATACAAAATTATATATTCTAAATTTTAAACCTCTTTTAGGGCTTTAATAGTAAAAATGTCCCGTCAATATTTCTTGTTCAAAATAATCTATCTTATCAAAGCTTATCAGCTTTCTACAGACTATTTATTTGTTTTGGCATAGCACAATCACAATATACAACAATAATTAGTTTTTAAAGCTATTAATCTAAATTTAATACGTATTTATAAATAAAATTTATTAATATATAATTTATATAATTCGATCTTACTGTATGGTGTAGAGGCCTGGACGCTGACGGAGACGCTCACGAGAAAACTAGAAGCATTCGAAATGTGGATGTACCGACGCATTGAGCTTCCAAAAGCTTGAATATCTAGGCCACATATTGAGACACGATAAGTACCGTCTACTGTAATTGCTTGTCCAGGGAAAAATAGACAATAAGCGAGGGCCGGGCAGAAGAAGACACTCGTGGCTTCAAAACCTGCGGAAGTGGTTCGGGTTCACATCCGTCGAACTATTCAGAAGCGCCGCAAACAAGATCAGAATTGCCATGTTAATAGCCGACGTTCGCAACGGACAGAGTACTTGAAGAAGACGAAGATTATATAATTTATATTATAATCAAATTGTGTAAGAAATTAAAATATAAACAAAATTCTTACTCTAAAAAAGCGGCAACACTTCAAAAAATTTTGTCACACGCTGAACTGTCAATAAAATTTGAAGTATTCCCGTATCAGATACGTACAATTGTCTAATTTATTTAATTAAAATTATTATTTTGTGGAATATTAGACTTAAACAGTTATTTCATAAAATTTATATTATAATAATAACAAATGTTTTTGGTTATTTAATCGATATAATTCTAAAATTTACAATATAATGATAACTACATTTTTCTGATTATTACACCAAGTTGACGCCTATGAAAGATCGAGCAGTTCCGTATGGAATTCGTATTATTAGCTGTGTTAGGAAAATTTTAACTTCAAGGTTGACGTTCTGGAAATTTTAAATGTAAGTGACGTCACTTTATATAAATTGTGACGTGCAAGCATTTTTATTTGAAAAATGCTATATTCTTATTCTTTGATAAAATCATTGGTACTATTGAAATATTGACACTTGATGTAAAAATTTATTTGAAGTCAAAGAAACTTTTACGTTCCAGATATTCACGAATTTATTGACACAGAAATTGATGAATTAATTCATGAATTTATTGTTGATATAAAGCCCTCATTAGACTATAAGTTACTAAGAAAATTTAAATCCAATCATTCTCACAGACTGCACGTTACCGATATGATATGGGTTCCTTAAATCCTTCCATGGTCACTAAGTACCTACGGCAATGAAAGCATTTTTATTCTCTAAACGTATTTCTTTAAAATAATAATTTTAATCATCAAACTTTTATGTGATTTTTATTAGAAATATTTTTGGTTAAAAATGAGAATTATTTTTTATTTTATATCAATACAACATTTGAAACAATGTTCTGTAATCATTGGATATATTATGCAACTTTTTGAAATCATCTTCGTGGGTTTAGGTATATTAGTCAGTGCGGACTTGCCCGTGCGGTGTTTACGCAGTTCTTTATGCCATAACCAGCAGTCGAAAATCGGCGCCCGCCGCAGCAGTACATACCATACATTAGTGCAGCATATAAATAAACATTATACATATATTATGAAAATGTGAATACTAAGGGGTAAGTTTGCAATGTTTATTAAATTCTAATTAGAGTTTAAATTAAACTAAATTTTGTGGGAAAATGTAGCAGGATATTTGCCCGTTAAAAATAGCTGAACAACAATAAACAATTCAAATGTTATAACCACATTGTTCTGGTTGAAAAACTCAGTATCGTTCCTCGTAAATTTATTTAGGGATATGGTATTGTTTATTCATATTTATGATGTTATTTTGTCATGGAATTTAGATTTTATAGTGTTTTAACAGTAAGTTACAAAATTCTTTCATGTCAGTGTATTTCCTTAAATTGCTTTGTCACTGTCTTTCATTCTCTTCTATTTTGTGACCTTTTTTTTAATCCTCTGGTTTTATTTTATAAATATTCAACATTAGCACCTATTTAATATTTGTGGCCGTCCAAGTTTTCGTTTCTTTTGTACTTTTTTTACTGGTGGACAACAGAATAATAAAACAATCAGAGTGCCCACTCTGCTTTCTGCTTTTGTAAAGATAGATTTGTAAAGTACGCGCATCTCGTTCGCGAAGGCGGAATCACAAGACGCAAAAGCAATATACTCTGACGGAATCAGCTATGTTTTAAACGGAACCAGTGTCGTTCAGTGAAATATTATCTGGTGTGCATTAAACAGTTCAGTGGTAGCGCTTGTGATAAGTGTTATATATAAATGTAAATACATTATTGATAATATATACAAATATTATAAAAATAATATATATAAATATATATAAATATTATAAAAATTATGTCAATATTAAATTGATTTTATAAATTATGATTTATATACACTCACCGGCACGAAAAACGAAGCACTTGCATTTTTAAAATAAAAACTTAAAATTTTAATTCTCTTTAACCCTTCAGTAGTCGCTAGGAATTTTTGAAAATTAGTAGTCGCGCGCGGTCGATAGGACCGTTTGGTATTTTACTTCTTAGTTTGTGTTAATAAAAGTATTTGGAACCAGTTTAAGTAAAACACGATTTTATTAAGGTTTAATAAGTAGAGTAACATATTACAAAAGAATATAAAAAGTAAACTAATCTTAAAAACACTGGACAGCACATTTAAAAAACTATTTTCTACTCTGATAAAAAAAAAACTTTTAGTTAATCCGAATAAGTTCAGTTTGGAACTCTTCGCACACTGCACGTGTATGTTCTCTGCATAAAAACTGTTTACCTTTGCAGGAGGAAACAGTCGTTTTCCGGTTCTTTTTACGGTCACAAAAGTAGCATCTACCATGTACTTCTTAATTCGTTGGAGAGCCGTCTGTATTAGAAATATTACATATGGCCTTAATACGTAACTTCAGATCTCTATTTACATTGTCTACTGTTGCTCGGATCCGTAAATGTTCATCAACAAGAGAAAATGCTAAATGCTTCAAACATTTTCTTCTAAGCATTTTATTATCAGCACGGTTGTTACTTGCATGAATCACTAGCGAATTAATGCCTGCGATATTTAGTATGGTATTAAAAATTACCATGGGCCAACGTCTTGTTTTTCGCGAAACATCATAAGAGGAGCATAGCTGATCAACGACGTCAACCCCGCCTTTGGTTTTGTTATAAAACGTCAGAATTTCTGGTTGATAATGTCCAAAAGTTTATCTATCTATAGCGTCGTCATCATGTAGACTTGAAACAAGCACTACAACTTTCTTCTTTTTGGGGATATACGACACTAAGGTACATGTATCGCTAAAGGCGAACATACTTGATTTTAGAGGACGGGCAGTTCCCTTTTGTTCTTTCTAATGGTCCCCACAACAGTTAATCCAAATTCTTTTTTATGTTGGGCCCAGAATTCTTTATTGGTGCACACATTCTTTTTACAACTTCTTTCGGGGAATTGTCCACAGCAAATGGGCCATCTGGTTGACGACCCACATAGACCTCCATATTTATGGTATCACATAAACTAAAAATTTTGAGCCTATACTTTGAGGGTTTGCTCGAAATATATTGCATCCAAGGGCAATTCTCCAAAAATCCAGGAAGCATTTCATCACATGTTAAATTTTGCGAAGAGTTTTATCCCGAGTTACACTTTTCTACGAATTTGTCAAAAAATACTCGGATGGCGGCCATATTATCCAGTCTCCTACGTTCTTCACGATCGACCTTATCTAATGCATTTTAGAAGAAATCGAAATCGGGAGATAAGGACATAACTAGTCTAAATATTTCGATACCTTCGCCATTAGTTTGCCAGATATCTTCTGTATTCAGGTAATGGGCTTTATATGTCCCTGCCAAATATAAAAGGCCAAGCCTTTTGCGCGAATTTCAGATGGGTTTGTAAGCTTTGCATCCCTCTCCCTAGAGAAATTGCTTGCTATACTTTCTATGTATTTATTAGTGGATTCTACAATTATGTAAATCATGTCCTCATCAATGAAATAACTCCATATGTCATAAATGGCTTTCAACTTTTTCGTAAATCTATTAGGCCCAGGTGATTGTTTTACTAAATTAGGCTTACTCATACGCACCCTTTTGCTTTTTCTTTGATGCTTTCTCCACACTGTATCATCTTTTCCCCTAAAAACACTTTCTTCTTGTACATTATTCAGTAAAACTTCTCCTATTTTCTCTAAATATTGTTCTTGTTCGCTTTCCGAATCTTCCGACCTCTCATCAATAACTTCCGGATTTACTTCATTCTCGTCATCGTCGTCGTCATATTCTATATCAAGCGGTTCTTCTTCCATGAGAGCTTGAAGTCTCCTATATAATAGTTTGCTGTAGCTTAAAATTTAAAAAAATTAATATTTGATTCTCAATAATAGAACAAAGAAAATTATGAAATATCGTAATAGTAATTTGCTGCAAAGTAAGTTAAAATTTGATGACTAATTACATAGTAAAAGAAAAAGAGGTATATTCAAAAGGTTACTAAACAATAAGACAAAAGTATAGTAGTATATTATTTAAAAAAACTAACGTTTATACATACCTTAAGGTGATAAGAAACACAATAAAACGATTTATAAAAACTTTTTAGCTGACTAGAGGCGCGCGGAAATTATGACCTTTGCGCTGTAACTCCTAATCAATAAACCTCCCGCAACTCTGATTTAGTACTGAGGGAGGGTACTTACTGAGGCTCCTTATCCTTGTCAGTCCTTGTATCGAATGAGTAAGCTACTGAAGACAGTGGTTGCCAAATGTAATTTTTTTCCGAAATATTAGCAATTTTTAATACGTGCGGTCTTTTGACCATGTAGCGACTAGTTAAGGGTTAAACTTTTATTACCATAATAACGTAAACAAAAATAAAACAAACTGTTTTAAGTAATTTCTAATAAAACTCAGGTGCTTATCCGAAAAAAAATTCATAAAAAAATCAGAAATAAAGAATACACTACCTTTTACCAAGAACACTTTTAAAAGTGCAAAGGTATCTGTTGGTATTATATTGTTATTATTTTGTTCTTGTAGAAGCGAGTAGACTGTCGAGTTAAATTAATTGTCAAACACAATTTAAAGTTGAATTGCGTTAATTTAATTTCAAGAATTATGGTTGTAAATTTCGAATTAGCGGCTGCTTTTGTTGCGTTGCTTTAAGACGGAAGAAGTGAGCGATATGTTGCTCAAAAGTATCAAATATCCAATCGCGTATTTTTACGTTTCTTGGCAACCAGAAGCTTACACTATACGACCTGGAACCGGTCTCCAACGAAGATTTAGTGCCCGTGATGTTCGCTTCATTCTCTTAGAAATTCTATAAGATCGTCGTGCCATTGCTGTACAAATCTGAAATTAACTTCAGTACGTCCGGAATACTAAGGTTAGTAAACGAACAATTAGACGAAGGCTTGGAGAAGCAAATTTAAGCAGTCGCAGACCTGCAACCATGCTCATTTTACTATAAATAATTGGAGGCATGTTTTATTTACCGATGAGTCTAGGTTTACCTTGCGGTCTCCAGATGGCCGTGAGAGAGTACGGCGAAGACCACATGAACGTTTTGCAGAATTTACCTTCAGTCATAGGGTAGGCCATCATAGCTGAGCTTTGTGCCCTCCAAAATAAATTTTGGCAGGACCCTGGTCTACCTGGCCTTTCGGCATACGACCGTTAGCGCACGCCACTGCCCCTACGAGTCTGACACCAAATGGAGGTGGCACGATGCTTGCACATCGTGTGGCTCCACCTCCCCCGTAGTACCTGTGTTGCGGGTCACGCCACCCTTCCGTGAGTCCTCCCCCCGGAGGCGGAAAGGCACGCAGGTGGTGGAATACCACCTCGCACGTAGACAGGTCGCCGCCGAGGAATCACTCCTCTACCACTCGTTAGATCATTCCGAGGTGTGGTTACGCGCTGGGTCACCCGTTCCCCTTCCGCGGTGTCAGCTTCTGGGGAACCTCCGTACCTGGCTCGTTTAACCACACCCGGCTCTTGTGGAAAATGAGAGTAGAGTGGTCCCACGAGGCGCTCGTCTCGGATACTAGGAATGTAGACCGGTGACTGAGATGACTAAGCATCTCTGTGCGTTTCTACCAACCCGACACCTCAAACAACGGCCCTCCACCTCTCATATCCGCCCATTAGTCGCCTCTTACGACAGGCAGGGTCTTCTGGCCCCGGTCGTATTCTTATCTCCTCGACCGGAAGAGGGGGCTCAATCATGGTGTGGGCTGGAATTTCTCTAGAGGCATATACATAATTGTACATCGTTCCGAGAGGCTCCATAACAGCTGCCAGGTACATTGATGAAATTCTCAAAGATTTTGTTGTACATTATGCTGGTTTTGTTGAAAATGACTTTGTTCTGATGCATGAAAATGCTAAGCCTCACAGTGCGAGAATCACTCAAGAGTTTTTAAATGAAGTTAACATTCCTTTAATGGATTGGCTAGTATTGAGTCCAGACGCAAACCCAATTGAACATGTTTGGGACATGCTTGGGCGAAGGATACGAAGTCTTGTTGCGTTGCCCTTACAAGAACGTACAAGAGCGCACAAGAAGCCCTTTTAAAGGAATGGTA